CTCGTTCAACTTTCATGCTTTCTGGATAGTACACCAAATATGCAGGGCTATTTTTGTCATACCCTACAAAAATCCCCTCCTTACTTCTAGGTTCAAGCTTCTTAGGACCTTGCACATATGCATAGCATACTGCACCAAATACGTGCATATTATTCAGATTTGGCTTTATGCCAGTTAAGGCTTCATATGGGGTTTTGCCCAATCTGTCATTGAAGCACCTATTCCTTATATATGCTGAAGCCATCACAGCATATGTCCATAACATTTTGGGTAACTGGGCTTTCTAACAACAAACACCTTGCCATATTAAATAAGCTAAGCCAAGCTCTTTCTGCTGTGCCATTTTGATGGGGTGAGTAAGGGGCACACGTTTCATGTTTAATTGTGATCTCTCGGAGTAGAGACTTAAACTTTTGCCCAATAAATTCCCCACCATTATCACTTCTGATACATTTCACTTTACCAAGAGGGACAATATCTGCTAAAAATTGTTTAGTAGCTTCGACTGTATCAGATTTATGCTTTAAAAATATATCATGATAACACCAGAGTAATCATCCACAAAAGACAATGCATAATTGAAACCATCCTTACCACCTGGACTAATTGGTCCAGCTAAATCTGAATGAACTAAATCAAATGGGGCATTGGCTCTCTTATCAGGTGTCCTATTTCTCGACTGGGTCATATTACCTTGTGTGCATGTTTTACATTCCATTTCCTTATGACTAGTGATCTTCATTCCATCTACAACATTTTCAACCTTACGAATATCTGAAAAATTACAGTGCCCTAGAATTCTATGCCACTCTAAAATTGTACCCGCATTATTCTTGGAAGATAAAATACCGTTTAGGTAATATAAACGACCTACCTGTTCAATATTAAAAACTGCACCATCCGAGCTCTTAAAACTCTTGTTATGCTTATCTAAGCTTATGCTTGCGCCCTCTTCTATTGCTGCATTGACTGAAAAGATATCCTGCTGATACGATGGGACATAAAGCGCATTATTTAAAATTAGATCATGAGAACTTCCGTTTACGTCATATAGCTTAACCTTCGCAACGCCCTTACCTGTCACAACCTTAGCCTTACTGCCATCTGCGAGCTCTATAATGTGCGCATTTGGGTCAAAATCTTCATCAAAACTTATAAACTTAGATTTATCATTTACAATATGGCTAGTAGCGCCAGTATCTACTAAAAGATTGTTACTATAACTCTTACCACAGGCACTACTGTCACTGACTTTAAATGTAAACGTATGCTCACTGTTCTCAGTCTTCGTTCTTCCTTGATCTTCGGCTTTCTTCGCAGAATCGTTTCTCCCCATATTTGATCGGCATTCCTTCGTATCATGCGTTTTGTTTCTACAACGACTGCACCACTTCCCGTTTCCGTTCTTTCCCGACTTCGACCAACATTCAGACTTTTTGTGTCCCTTCTTCCCGCACTTGAAACAAACTCCGTCAAATCTCTCGCCGTTCTTCATGGCCATAATATTTTCTCCCGTCTCGCTGTTACCGTTTCTACTTTTCTCGCTCTCTTCGTAGCTACGCAGTGCGACTTTAAACTCTGCAAATGTCATTTGCTTGTCTCGTTGGACAACTATCGCCGAGAATGTCTTAAAGTTACTTGGTAATCCTTTTAGCACCATCGCGATCAATAACGCGTCGCTTACAGCTTCATCTGCGTTTCTCAATGCTGTCGCAGCCGTTTCAGCCCGTATGACATAATCAACGATGCTCTCACTGTCCGTTTTCTTGAGCGTCGTCAGTTCTGTGTATAGTGAGATAACTCGAGGCTTGCTCTTTCCTTGGTAGTGCTGTCGCAATATCTCCAATGCTCTCTGCCCGTCGTCTTTTGCTTCGCGTATAACTAGCGCCAAACTTCTGTCGTCTAGGCATTGTACCAACTCCGCGAAAGCATCTCCGTTCCTCGACGCATCGGGTTCTTTATCACCTGGCACAAATACATCGTGTAATTTTTGTAGCCTCATCTGCGCCAGAAACTTTACTTCCCATAGTTCATATTTACTTTCATCGCCGTTAAATAGTAGTCCCCTTCTGGGCCCATAACCTGTTGGGTTTGTGGCGGTTGCCATTCTTTATTATATTCAATTTGAGCACATAAGTTTCTTATAGCTTTATTTTACACGACAGACAGAATACAACTCACGCTTTTACATAAGTTACGCTTTACGGTGATTGGTCAGATATTTACCAAATATAGTCATGAGTCTCTTGCTCTTTATCTATATGTAACTTAATATATCAATTACTAATAACATTACAACTAACAATTGTTTCTACTTTAATAACATAAATTACGTAATACATAAGAGCACAACTTAACAAATTTTACAAGCACCGTGTCGGCAAGGTCTTCTTTTACAACCATTGTAGAACGTGCCAGTTGTATCTTTCAATGTCTGACGGAACATGATTATTTTCAGTAGAATTCGAAACATCATTATTACCAAAGCAAATTCTTTAGGAAAAACATGATTTAAATAAGAATTGAATAGTCTATTATCCCACTGAGCTATAGAAACTGCAGGTCGCGCTTCAAGGCTTGAACATAATTGCTGAGCGAATAATATCAGTATAAATCAAAATATTTTCAAACATGTTCTTACGCGCTATTAAGATTTCAGTGATTTTACTGAGGTATATATTTGACCAAGGTATTTGGGTTAAACTCTAATGTGGCTTACACTTTGATCTCAACAGTGAATCAGAGAATCACATCGCTTTACGTTTATGAATGTCGAAGTTCAGTTATCGTGGATAATTGTTTGTCCGCCTTGAAAAGCACTTCTGGTGTGTTGCATCAGTCACTTTTCTATATGTAAAATATATTAAAAGTACAAATAATTAATGAAACGACGATTAAGATTATTGATAGTTAACGGTGTTGTCGTTCTTGTAAATGTAAACGTTATCGGTGAGTTGGAATAAGCATAACGAGGCCGCAAATGGTAGTCAACTTCAGGAATGTTGTTATGATTATAAGAAACTAAAAATTGTCGGTTCAACACCATTAGCTTTACGATAGTGATGATGAAATCCACCTATTCACCTGAACTGCATGCCTTGCGCTTTTGACTCCAAATTACTCGCAGTTTGAGTGGATAAGTAACGGTTTTGAATCTTTTAGCTCAGTGCCAGTAGTCGATAAGAGCCGTCATGATCAGACATTCATGTATATGTTTCACGAAAGAGAGTCGGCATGCAAAGGCTGTCGCAACATGTCAAAGTTGCTCGTGTATTAGAATAGTGTATAAAACAAATCCAGACTTTTTCACATCAGCCAATTTGAGTTGGTCACTAAATTGTAGGGTTAGACAATAAAACCATAAAGCTAACCGAAATCCAACCCCACCCCTAACCTGTAGTCTTTATCTTGACCAAAACGCAACCATTAACGTCACCAACTTGCAAATTCGACCTGCAATTTAAACCCACCTCCTTGGTGGTTGAGTTTTGGAGTTTTTGTTAGGATGAAGACTCAAGGTTAGGGTTGGGATTGGATGTGGTGAGCTTTATGATTTTATTGCCTAAGACAACATAAAAATATCCAAAATCTATCTTCATCTCATCAACCTGTATCACCCTGCACCAACCTGGAATTTAGAACCTTTGTGGAAAATATGCTCATGAATATTTGAAGATTAATACATGGTGTTTAAAATGCCAGAGCCAGGAGTATTTATAATGAGGTTAGAATTAATTTTCTGTCCAATTCTTTACGAATCGAACTGTTAGATGTGTAAACACTTTCACTAAGTACCTTGTAAAGTATAGCTTCCTACACTTCTAATGAGTTTTAGAACGTTTTAAAGACTAGATGATGAGACTTGATGTTTCCATAATGCTGTGATCATTAGTTATTCATAAGAAAATTTAAGACGAAAAGGAGGCCACTGATGACCAATTTCTATCTGGACAATTAAAATACATGTTTTTCCCCGACAATAGCGAGAAACTGTTGGAACTTCTTCTAACATGTCGACAGCACCACAGTAGATTTGTGATGATCACATCAATGTGGTCGACATTCTCTTCATCAGTATGTATGCATAGCAGATGCACTCTCCAGTTCAATTTTTGAGATCAGTGCATGACATCACTACATGACACGCACCTTTAAGTATGATTGGTTAATTTCCTTATGAAATTTTGATTAACTATAAACTATTAGAAAGGAAGTCTTCACATTTACAACCATTTTAGAACGTTCCAGTTGTATCTTTCAATGTCTGACGGAACAAGATTATTTTTAGTAAAATTCGAAACATGATTACGAAAGCAAATTCTTTAGGAAAAACATGATTTAAATAAGAATTGAATAGTCTATTATCCCACTGAGCTATGGAAAATGCAGGTCGCGCTTCAAGGGTTGAACATAATTACTGAGCGAATAATATCAGTATAAGTCAAAATATTTTCAAACATGGTCTTACGCTATTAAGGTTTCAGTGATTTTACTGAGGTATATCTTTTACCAAGGTATTTGGGTGAAACTCTAATGTGGTTTACTTTGATCTCAACAGTGAATCGGAAAATCACATCGCTTTACGTTTATGAATGTCGAAGTTCAGTTATCGTGGATAATTGTTTGTTCACCTTGAAAAGCACTTCTGGTGTGTTGCATCAGTCACTTTTCTATATGTAAAATATATTAAAAGTACAAATAATTAATGAAACGACGATTAAGATACTTGATAGTTAACGGTGTTGTCGTTCTTGTAAATGTAAACATTATCTGTGAGTTTCAATAAGCATAACGAGGCCGCAAATGGCAGTCACTTCAGGAGTGTTGTTATGATTATAGTAAACTAAAAAATTGTCGGTTGAACGCCATCAGCCCTACGATAGTTATGTGAAATCCACTTATTATTTGAGTGAATAAGCTATAGTAACGGTTTTGAATTGCTTAGCTCATGCCTCATGAGTGCCAGTGGTCATTAAATGGTCAAAAATGTATGTATATTTTTTACTGAGAGAGTCGTGCAAAGGCTGTGGCAACATGTCAAGGTTGCTCATGTAATAGTGTATTTAGGCAATCTACAAAATAAATCCAGACTATTTCACGTCAGCCAATTTAACTTCGTCACCACAGCCGCACCAACTGAAAACACGGAGGGTCTAAATTGCAGCTTGATGCATGTTAATGAGATATAATTAATTTTGCCTTTATTTAAATTGTGATAGCCAATAAGATCATAAAGCTTATCCACATCAAACGCCCATCCATAACCCGGGGTATTTATCCTAACCAAAAGTTAGTCACTAGCCCACATGCACCAGCTTACAAGTTCAACCTGCGAATCAAACCATGGAATTTTGGTTAGGATAAAGACCCAAGGCTGGGTTTATTTAAATTACTCGTAGTTTCAGTGGATAAGTCACGGTTTTGAATCTTTAATCATGAGAAATTCATGTATTTTTTTACGAGAGAGAGTCGTGCGAAGGCTGTCGCAACATGTCAAGGTTGCTCATGTAACAGAGTGTATTTTGGCAATCTACAAAATAAATCCAGACTATTTCACGTCAGCCAATTTGACTTGTTCACCACAGTCGCGACCAATGGTATAAATTGCAGGTTGATGCAGGCTGATGAGATCAAGTAGATTTTGGCTATTTTCATGTTATGATAGGCAATAAAATCATAAGCTTACCCACATCCAAGGCCTAACCATAACCTGGGGTCTCTATCCTAACCAAAAATCAGCCAACCTGCACAAACTTACAAATTCAACCTGCGAATTTAACCATGGGCTTTTGGTAGACCCAAGATCCAAGGTTAGGTTTATGATTTCATTGCCAAAAACAATATGAAAACTTCATTTTTATCAACCACGCCCTGTACCAACCTGCAATTTGGACCCTCAGTGAAAAATAGGCTGATGAATATTTGAAGATATCAACACAGTGTTTTAAAGGACAATGGCACCGAAAATTTTTATTGGCTATTTCAATCCTACTTGACGACCTAACTATGAAAATATTAACATTTCCGGCGTTCTCAAACATTTTAGTCTACGAGTAAAATGCATGCAAACTTTGTGTTTCGCCGCCATCTTGGAAATATTTTTTGACAAATTATCTCGAAGGTCAATGAACTTTGTGACGTCATTGGATGGGTAGCACTAAAACTACGAGAGAGAATTCTATTGCGTGCGTGTTATGTTAGCTAAAAATATGTCGTTTTGAGCGTTATACTGGCCAACACTCTTCGCAATCAAACAAGATAAGTCTACACTATCAGATAAAAACATATCGAGCAACTGGGAAAGCAAGGAATGGCGCAATTTACAATACAGGTAATTGATCATAAAATATTGCATTAGTTTTCAATTCAGACTTTATTTCATGAGGGTAAACACTTGACAGTAAGTGTGAACTACTGATAAATTCGTGGCCCTCCTTACATAACTACAATTAAGCTAATACAATACTAAAACTTATAAAAACTCTAAAACTACTATACTTACAAATAAAATAACCCACCACCCACCTAAGCAATTTCTAAACTATTAGTATTTGTCTTGTTGCACTCGAATTTCTGCGTTTATTTATCATGGAGCAGCTAGGATATATACTATGAGAAATATACAAACAAATTACATACTTGGTAAAACTTTGCTGCCTTTTATTTCGGTTCAAATGCACTACGCGTGGCAATACTCGGTATTGTTTATAGTCATGAAATTGTTTTTACCCAGCCAATGACGTCAGATAATGTATTTTGAGGCATAAATTAGCATACGCGCTTATTTTCAAAATGGCGGACAACTGTTGAACTTGCTATCAAATTTTCTCAACAACTAAAGGCGACAAACCGGCCAAAATATGAAATTAAATATTCCGCAAGTATACCTAAGAGATATAAGTAATAAAAATTTTGGGTGCCAATCTCCTTTAAATGCCAGTGTCAGAAGTATTTATAATGAGGTTAGACTTTTCTGTCCAATTCTTTACGAACAGTCGAATTGTTAGATGTGTAAACACTTTGCCTAAGTACCTTGCAAGATATAGCTTTCTACACTTCTAATGAGTTTTAGAACGTTTTAAACACTAGACGATGAGACTTAGAAAATTTAAGACGAAAGAGAGGCCACTGGTGATCAATTTCTGTCTGGACAATTAAAATACGTCTTCTTTTTCGACAATAACGAGAGACTGCATGTTAGAACGTCTTCTAACATGTCGACAGTACCACAGTAGATTCGTGGTGATCACATCAATATGGTCGACATTGTCTTCATTTATGCATAGCAGGGGCCGGTTGTACGAAAGGTGGATAAGTTATCCAGTGGATAAGTCCTATCCAATGGATAAATCTCCTATCCAATGGATAGCTATCTGCCGAATAAAAATGCGTTGTACGAAGCACGGATAGCAGGGTGGATAACTATCCGTCGGATAACCTTAATTTTAACCGGAGAAAACCGGATTTTCCTGAAATTTCTTATCTCTACGTCAGCTGTTGCTAGGTATTTGTAAACTTTTGTTGTAGTATCTTCGTATAATTTGTGAAATCCACTAACCTTTGAACTATCAACTTGCAATAAAGGTTTTCTGTTCATGACATCATGTTTATATTTTGGAGTTTTTCTCGTCCAATCGTTGCAATACTTCGTTTTCCCACAGTGAAGAGTTTGCTATCTACTTATCGATATTTCTTTAAAAGATTTTTGGCTTCTTTATGCGAAGGCAATAGCAAAGACTGCGAGTTTTGTTTTCTTGTTTCAGTACGTTGATTCAGTTTTATTTTATATACTGTCCGAATATTTGTTCTTTGACCTTTCACGTCATTCAAAACAATTTTAAGAACATTTTCTCGCAAGATTTGATTGGCTGATCAAGGCCATCGAACAAAATTTTTCGACTTTCGGCGCCTTGTTGTCTATTTATATGCAGCTATATTTGTTTGGCGTTGAAGGGAACTCATTTAATGAAAGTTTTATTGCTTGTTTTCGAGCTATATAACAGAAAAAAAGAAGGAAAAAAGCCAGAAAACGTAACGTCTAAGCACTGACACGGGTCTGCATAAAATATGGCAAAGTCATGGCATTATTTAATGGGCAAGTGACTCAAAGTGAGCTCGGTACGTCGGGAGCAAGAGAAGTCATATTAAGTAAGTTTCCATGTTTAGTTATAGTGTCAAGAAAGGGACTTCTAAACGGTATTTGTCCATTTCTATCACAATAGCAATCCTTTTTAATGAAATACATATTGTTTTGTCTTCAAACTTCGAGTTTATCCGCCGGATAGTAGATTTAAACTACCTCCGGACCTCGGATAAATTTATCCAACGGATAGTGCATTTTATCCGTTGGATAGCGCTATCCAAGCTTCGTACAACGCGATTTTCACTCCGGATAAAATTTATCCGCTGGATAGGGACTTATCCACCGGATAGCGATTTATCCACCTTTCGTACAACCGGCCCCAGATGTTTAATTTAGATCTAGTTTTGAGACCAGTGCATGACACCACTACATGACATTCTTTCCTTATGAAATTTTTGGAGATAATCTAATTGGCGCGGCATGCGAGTAGCGAGTCAATAGCGCGAGGCGCGACTCGAAAGCGCGAGGCGCGACTAAAGCCCGTTCTCCACTAGGCGAATTTGTTCGCGCGACGCGACGCGAAAACCGAAATCCGGCAACGTGATTGGTCGGCGAAAAAATTCGCGGCGAAAAAGTAGGATCGTTTCCTACTTTTTATCTGTTCGCGCGAAAAAATTCGCCTAGTGGAAAACGGCCTTAAAGGCCGTTCTCCACTACGCGAATTTGTTCGCGCGACGCGAAGCGAAAACCGAAATCCAGCAACGTGATTGGTCGGCGAAAAAATTCGCGGCGAAAAAGTTGGATCGCTTCCTACTTTTTATCTGCTCGCGCGAATAAATTCGCCTAGTGAAGAACGGGCTTAAATTGGCGCGACTCGTGAAAAAAGGCGCGACTCGTGAAAAAAGGCGCGACTCGTGAAAAAAGGCGCGACTCGCCAAAAAAAGCGCGACTCGCCAAAAAGGTTAAGCAGGTTAACTTTTAGTTTACCTCGGTTTTTAACTTAGTTTAACCTCGGTTTTTCGCTCCAGATTTGTATCGTATTTTTATACCAGTATACTTTAATCGGTTGCTTGGCATAACTCTGAGCTACCAGTTTTTTGGATGCAGTAGTTATCTCACTACGTATATGTAATGTAGTATGCCTTCAAATAGCAAATATTCCATTTGGCCACCGAATCACATATTACATATATGACAATTATATTTATATTATAATAATATGCTATAGTTGTAATTAAAACTGCGAAAATTTATTGTAGCTACATGTTCCGTTTTCGATATGTCAACAAGTCAACAACTATTGCAAACAATAAATAATGGATTTCAACCGGCAGGTATTTTCTGCAGATGGCGGTGACTGGTGGCGGGTAACGATGAATTATTCTATACGTCCAAATGTAAATCGGCTAGCCTTGCAAACACGACTGCTCCAAACACTTTTACCCTTCACGTGTGCCACCCATGGAAATTACCTGCTGGGTTTTAACAACTGAAAATAATCATGAGGAAATTAATTAGCAGGTAAAATTTACAAGCATTGACTGCAAGCAAATATAATCAGTTTATCGTAAAACATTTTATGCACTGACCTGCCTGTATCTCTTACTCGACATGTCCTAATTTTTTTCTGCTACTAGTTTTATTAACAAAGTTATAAACTGTTAACGTAATAAATCGGTAGTTGTAAATATCTATGTGTCCCTTATGACTTTCATTTGTCCTAAATTTAAACCATCAATTATACAAACAATAACATAGCATTTTTGTCGTAATAATTTTTTTCGCGAGTCGCGCCTTTTTCCACGAGTCGCGCCTTTTTCCACGAGTCGCGCCAATTTAGTCGCGCCTCGCGCTTTCGAGTCGCGCCTCGCGTTATTGAGTCGCTATTCGCATGCCGCGCCAATTAGATTATCTCAAATTTTTGTTAACTATTAGAATGAAATTTTATACAAGCACCGCGGGGGACAAGGTCTTCACATTCACAACCATTTTATAACGTTCAAATTGTCTTTCACATCCATTTTAGAACGTGATTATTTTCAGATGATGTCGAATAATGTATTAGAATTCTAGCTTAGACTTACTGGGTATAACATGACTAGGAAAGCAAATTATTTAGGAAAAAACCTGATTTAAATAAGAATTAAATAATCTAGTATACCACTGAGCTTATAGAAACTGCAGTTGGTGCTTCACAGCTTGACCACATATTTCACAAACGGTCTTAGCTGTTAAAGTGCTTATGTCACAAAAACTTTTTTTTGATATTTGGTAGAGGACAAAAAGTTAGTTAATAGGTTTTCTCTTTTCATTCGCGAGATATGAGGTTCTAAACCTTGAAAAATTGGCTTTTAGCGAAAAATTGTCGCGCCCGAGAAAAAAACGGAAAAGGGTCTGGGGCGAGAGCCGTGTGACGTAGCTTAAGGGACGGAAGTTCGAATTCACATGTGAAGGAGTACTAAAAAGCTATTGGGAAAACATATATTTTCCAGCACTCATGGTTCTCAATGTGACTCAGAATACAATTATATTCCTGGGTATATATACAGGATGAATCAAATGATACCAGTCACGAAATTGGAACTCTAGAAGCAGTTGACAGCGAAATTTTAGGCGATTATGATGCATATTGCCTTTATGCCGGTGGAGCCGCTAGCAAGCCAAGAATGCTACGCGCAACATCTAAAACCATGCGCAAGACAAGGAACAAAACGAGATGCTAGAACGAAGATTAGACGACCTTAAAGATATTAAATCATGGTGAGCGTAAACATAGATTTATTTAACATTTTAACGTAAAATAAGTATCTCTGGCTGATATATTTTTGATACGGCATCAGTCATATCACTTTCCTCACCTGTATCATATTTCGCAAGTGTAAATGCGGCGATTGTGTGATAATACATATTACATATACAATATACACACGAAGCTTGGTGCTGTCAGGAGATGGAATCTTGTAAATGTGGGGAAGTTCTGAAGGATAACTTGGTTTAAGAAGATGTACCACAGCCGCCGTGCTGTTACTGCTGTATCATTCTACACTCGGGATTCAGACCTATTTGCTTGGAAAAATGGGCTCTAAGAAAACTTGCGAGAAAATACAATCGTTTAATCGTTCGTATTAAATAAACGTGATCACAGATAAACACTGTAGCCTCAAACAAGAATATATACGTAATTTGCTCTGAACCAGTCGGTTTATATTTTCTTTGATCTCGTGTCTTGTATTTTCTTGCGAAGGTGATGGAAGTGTACATGGTTTAAACTCTTTGATGTGACTGATGCCGTATGAGCCCGTATCCCGCAAAATATATTAGTCAGAGATACTTATTTTACGTTAAAATGTTAAAATAAATCTTTGTTTACACTCCCCATAATTTAATATCTTCAAGGCCATCTAATCTTTCGCTGTAGCATCTAGTATTGTACTTTTGTTGCTTGTGTTCTGCTGATTTTTTTAGATATCGTGCGTACCATTCTTCGCCTTCATGGGGTCATCGGCATGAAGGCATGCATCATAATCGCCTAAAATTTCGCTATCAACTGCTTCTAGAGTTCCGATTTTGTAACTAGTATAATTTCATTCATCCTCTATAATATATCCAGGAATATAACTGTATTCTGAGTCACATTGAGAACTATGAGTGCTTTCCGAATCCGACCTACTGTCTGACATGCTGGAAAATACATCAAATGTTTATGCGCGTCGAAATTAAGTTCCTTAAGCTACGTCACACCACGCTCGTCCCAGACTCTTGTTGATACGCGACAATTTTACGAAAATCGCTGTTTAGAGCCTCGTATCTCGCGAACAAAAATAGAAAACCGAAAAATGTTAAAGAATCTATTAACTAACTTTTTGTCCTCTACCAAATATAAAAAAAAAGTTTTTGTGACATAAGCACTTTAAGATTTAGTGATTTTACTGAGGTATATTTTTCACCAAAGTAATTGGATTAAATTAAACTGTGCCGGCTTACTCTAAGGCTGTACAGTGAATCACTAGGTCGACAAAGTTTGAAATTCTGTACCCTTATGTTAAAGTATATCCGGTATGTTGCATCATACTTTTTATCAAAAGCAGACCTATAAATAATTTTAAAAACAAAATTATGATTAAAATTGATGATAACGGTATTGTCGCTCTTGTAAATGTAATCGCTATTGGTGGGTTAGAATAAGCGGTTATGAGGAAGCAATCGCACTATATAGAAGGCGAGCAAGAGAATTTAACTGCATTTCGCATTCCTATTTATTGGCCTTTCAATTGAAGACTTTACTTATATATAACTAGAGGGCACTCGAAGGCTGCATACCTCGACCTGCGATTTAAGTTCTGTATTATGCATAAATTATACAATGGACTAATTACTTATTCAGTTCACTCTGCCAGGCAAAGCAAGATAAACTTTTGCTAATTTCTCATACCAGTTTCATCCAAATTTAACCAAAATTTCATCAATTTATCCTTGAGCAATGTCCGTTTTTTCGTATTAATACATTATTTTTTTATAACTTTCTGACTGAAGACACACACACACACACACACACACACACACACATACTGGCCCCTTAGGCATGCTTAATTGAATTTACGTATAAAGCATCCATGGTAAGCCAGTCTGAATGTTGCGATTACGTTATATTACTTAAAACACAAATGCACTAAATTTACGTATATTAAAATAACCAAGTATTTTTAATGAGCGATATGGTTCATTTTCGTCCAGGAAATCGAAGGTGCAGTTTATGTAAATCAGGAACAAATCTGTACCTGATTTACAGATATTGATTATACATTTATTTCTTTTGGATTTTCTTCATGAAGTACCGTATTTAAAGCACGCGTAGGAGTGTTTTATCACATATAAAACACGACGCGTAGCTAGCGGAGAGTTTTATATGTGATAAAACACGACTACAAGTGTTTTAAATAGCTTTAAAAACGACTCATCTTGTACGACTTCATTGGCGAAGTAATTTTTAAAATAAACTTTGTCTAAACCGAAAAAATCAAAGCTAAACGGTTTATGTAAATTAACGTGATTTTAATAAAACCACGACACGCTTATGATTTTTCTTTGTGTTTTGCTCCTGAATTACTAATGAGTTTTTGAATAATATTTAAATCATATAAGAGGCCTGGCAACTGTTGATTGACCACCAGTTTAATTTTGTAGATTCGTCATGGCAATATCAGACGATGAAAGAAGATGGGTTGTCATTGGTGTATGTTTGACCAAAGTGCTCACTCCTGCATTGAGAAATGTTCTTGTAATCGAAATACCAAAGTGGCATAAAATTTTATGTCAACCCCCGACCGAAATTGACAAACAAGTTTTTGGTGGACACCAGAAAACGTTACACCCATCAACTTTGAACCTCAACTATAAAAGTATCAACAACAATAATGCCCATAAATGCCCAAAACGTGCATTTGATTATGCAGTTAAGGATCCATTGTCTTTGGCAAAGTTGTTTTTTAAACCATCCATGTCCAAGTTCACTGGCTTTGATGAAACAATGGACATATCTGCAGTTTTATCAGTTATTTGTGAAGCTGCCCCATTTGTAGGAGCTGCTGCTCATGCAAACACGGTTCGGTCAGATATCAGAAACAAGTGGGCACATTGCAACTTTGCAGAATGGACGAAACCAAAATTTTTTGATGCTTTTCAAAATATGGAAACTTTACTGAAAAATGTGAATCTGTCACCTGCTAATGAACAGAAATTGTGTGATGAGCTAAATAGCTGGAAAGAAAAAGGTAATTAATGCTTACTGTAATATTCAGATATCCCAGATTTGAAGTTTAATCGTTTATAGTTAATACAAATTACATGGTTTCGAGATTTGATGAACACATTATCAATGGTGGTCTAGTTTTATGCAAAACGGTGGTCCTTGTTTGTCGCCTGCGCATTGTACTTGCGTATACTTATTGTTATTGGAGGTGCTTGCCAGAAATTAGCACGGAGGAGGGGGGTGGGGGGGGGGGATAGGTCTGAATTAGATAGGTGTCCGTTTTACATGTAACAGTTTTTAAAGGAAACTATATGAAAATTTAAGCGAAACCAGCTATATATTATTGCGGTTTAAGCTACATTGAGCCGCTCATTGGTTCAAAATATTTATTTATTTGTACTTGCTCTTGACTGCCAGTCTGTAGTCTTCAATGTTTAATTAATTAAGTGATAATGAGAATTATCTATGTCCCAATATTGGAACTGTATTCTATATTTGAAAGAGGCTCCATAAGTATTTCAATTTATTTCAGGATTCCAGTTGTGTTTTGGCCAACCTGTGGATATTGAAATCTTGACTTTTCTCAGAGGTGAAGTGGATAAAATTCGTGAAGATGTTAAGACATGGAATTTAGAGAAAGGACAGGTTTGAAAATGATTTGTTTGGCTGCAGGTGCATGTTAATACTGAAACTAAGTGCTGTTAGTTTTGCTGAAGAAAATTGAGTGAAACGGACAGATTTAATCCATAGACACAACAAAACAACACAACACAGACATCATAAACTCCACCCGAAGCATTACATGTATATGCTGTGTAAACCAATTATTCTTTCTGTTATATATTCCAAAAATTGAACCAAATGCATAAAGCAAACGGTGAACGCCTTGATTTACCTTTAGCAGGATGAACTGATTTTCACGAACCGATTTTCACAGCATATCAGACAGTATAATAAAACAGTAAATACTTCAACTTTCTGCACAATCACTAAACAACTGATATGTCGTAACGCTCATTGGATAGGGTTACTTCAGAAACTAACGGCCCCCGACAGTTAGGGGCTCCTATTAGCCACGGCCTATCTCCCAGAAAATTAGAAAACGTAAAAAGTGCAGGTTACGAATCAATGGGAAAATGCAAAATTAATGCTGAATACTAAGCCTCCATCGACAACGGTAGCTGATTTTTTATTCCATCTCGAATAAAACAAAAGTTATTCTTATTTGTTGTTACATGTGTTGAAGACTGCTATTGTTATAGACATGGAATTTTCCAGAACATTCTATAAATATTCAATATAAATAAAATATCTCAGTCAAACAATCACAACAGTCAACAGGGACCCCCACACCAAATATGCCTAAGGGACCCCTCTTCCTCCGTTACGCCACTGCTGATATCATATCATATTTTAACATGACACAATTACAGTATCTACCGATCGTGGAATTAAGCATTAGAATTTTGGAATTTAATTCTTTTCGTTTTGTAAGAAGACAAAATCAACATATTCTTAGAGTGGATGATTCTTGCTTTAGCTTAAAATATTCTTAGGTATACAGGGTGTATCAAAATAAACGCAATTCATCTTTTGTGCTTAATAACTTTCGAAATACTATTTCTAGTTAAACGCTTTTAGGCTTACTTCAAAGCCTGTTCTTTTCTCTTTCAAACAAATTATTATCCTTGTCTCCAATGCTGGTAATAATTGCACAGGAAAAGATTTAGTAAACCTATCATTTTTAGTTGCTGTTTAATTATGCAAGTTTATTATGTTATTGTTTAGTCGGTTTAAATGTTAGAATTTTCTTCTTTAAACTTTAATGTTGTCGTCACTGGATCTGGAAAACCACGTAAGAACAAATTAAAAGTATTTTAAAAGAGACCAGTTGCTTGAAAATCCTAAACGAATGCTAAAAATCGTCAAAACATTCTGGTGTCTGAGCCAGAGTGTCATCGAATTGCGATGTAATGCAAACAGAAATTATAGCAAGTTGATGTCAGTCAGCTTAGATGGTCCAAGCCAAAATTATATCGCATTTGAAGTTTCAAACTGAGTTAAAAATAGTGGAAGAAAAGCCGTAATTATACTTATTGTTACAATCCATTTAATAAAATGCAACATTTTTTTGTTTTAATGAAAAAATCAGTTATTTTCATGAGAACGATTTGTTATTCCATCTCAATTTTTTTAATCTCCAATCGCAATAACGTAAAGTATTATTACCCGCGAACCAATGAGTCAAATTTAAGAAACAACCCACTGTTAGAAAGCTGAATGGCTACGCTTTAAAATGAATGTAAACTTTAAGGTTTTCGTCTATTATTTGTTTAGCAATTTACATTTCAGTCGAGGATTGCGCTTTTTTTGATACACCCTGTATAATAAATTAGGGTACGAGTGCTTTTGTTTTGAATTAAGAATACAAACAATGAAGTACATGATATGAAAAAGGTATCTCTGTAAAAAGATTTATTATAACATTTAGAAATTGTGCGGAAACCATGTCAGGTCAGGGGGCAGATCATTAATGAGGTACGGACTAATAGCGGCTGCTTAAAGTGCCATCTGTAAGCTCACAGTCTACCTCGGTCTGCTCATAGGTCTGCTTCACGCCAGTTCCGGTCCTGATATAACCAGTCACTGAAAAACCCTGATAGGGAGTGTGCTGTGCAATATCTGTAACTGTAATCTGTAACTCAAAATTACCACAACGTCCACAAGGTGTTGTGGCCACAACCGACAAAAAGGTTACTGAACATTTCCGATCGCGCACGACCACAATGTAGGCCTACATGCAGCTGCGGTAAACAATGGTTTAAGATAAAATTCCCCCATATGTGTAAATTTGCGTCAGGCTCGCTCGCTCCGCAGCAAAAAAGGTTGGGTGAAATACAATTTTCATTTTCCCGAAAAGTAAAGAAAAATATCCAACTCGAAGTTTAACTCGAAGTCCAACTCGAAGTCCAACTCGAAGCCCAACTCGAACTCGAACTCGAATCCAACTCGATGTTACCTAACTCCCGTAGTCTGCGCACAGACTGTCCCTTCCCCCCTCCCCCCCGTGGTGGAAGGAATCCCGCGCGGGAGCGGGGTGCAGTCTGCGAGCAGACTAGGTCATTTGAGCATTTGAGCAACAAATTATTTTTGAACCATACTGGCTAGCTGTTCAGTCATTCAGAACGATTTTCACTCGTTTCCATCTACCAAACTGACGTTACGTCATTTGATCAATTTCTAAAGTTGTTTCTTTTTGGATATTTTTTTTATTAATTAAAGTTAGAGTTTGGGTTAGGGCATAGGTTAGGGGTTAGAGTAGAGTAGAGGTAGGATTTGGATTAGTTACATGGCCATTTAACATTTTAACCAGATTTTAACACATCTTCCAAAAACGACATGTCGGTTTGATAGATGGAAACAAGTGCTGACCATTCAGAACTTGAAAAAACCATGACCAGCCGACAATATAAAAAAAATAAAGTAAAAAACAAATTCCGAAAATACAGGACATCTTGAGAATTCAATATATAATTCAAAACAAGACGCAGTTTGAGACTGTCTCAAACTGCGTCTTGTTTTGAATTATATATTGAATTTTGAGACTGTCTCAAACTGCGTCTTGTTTTGAATTATATATTGAATTTTGAGACTGTCTCAAACTGCGTCTTGTTTTGAATTATATATTGAATTCTCATTCTGTATCTTCGGAATTTGTTTTTTACTTTATTCAGAACTTGCTTATATTTGATTCGGGGACGGGGGAGTGGCAATGGGCCAATTTTTATCCGCCCCCCCCCCCATTAAGGACATCTGAACAAACAGTGTGACCAGATGTGGAAATTACATTACTACCGTGGTAATTTTTCGTCATTTTTGGAGGATTGTTGTAATTGGAAATTTGTGGTAATTACTACGGTAATTTCAGAACTACCGTGGTAATTTTTCGTCAATTTTGGCCGATTGTGGTAATTTGAAATTTCCAGACCTTAAATATTGTACAGATTTTGGTGAAAAACCCTAAATTTTACATATTTTGCTGATTAACAGCAGGATTAAGCAGAGCAGACGTGTATTTTGGGCTCCACTAAATCTCAAGTTCGAAATCAAAGCAATCTACTAAAGCGTAAAAGCGGCAATGAAAACTATCTATGTGAATAACAGTCGAAGTGTAACACTTTGTGCCTTAGAAGTTGAGTCGAACACTACGGCTGAATGTGTGCAGAATAAAATTCAAGAGAAGCCAGAAATTCCCTCAGAACAGCAGCGACTTTTCTTCACGGACAAAGTACTCGACGTTGAGAAAACGCTAGGCGGCTATGAAATATGTAATGGTCGTCTATAAAGCTGGAATTCACATCGTCTACTACAGATGAAGCAACAACATATGGGGAAGGATTAAAGATTACAGATAAGGGAACCCATCCTCGTACCCAGGGTCCCCTGCGACGGAGGTTGAAGGGAACCCTGAAGTGGCTCGGTAGCTTTGAAAGCCTAAAATATCTCGTCGAGAAATTGCAATTACCAAAAGCCAAATGGATGACTCCAGGCGGTAGGCGGTGGCTCGAAATTGTATGAATGCGAAGAGTTTTCTGCGCGCTGGTATTCAACTAATGAACACTCAAGGGAAATAAAGCCAGTGAAATTAAAGCAAACTTCATCTCCATCTTGGAAAACGAAGTAGAAGAGATTAGCCAAAGTCAAGACGAATTGCAATATAACAGTGATTTACATAAAGATTCAATAAAAACTAATGGCCCGTCCACAAACTATCCCACGTGTGACTCAACATGCAGTAATTTAGAACAATATCTATTGATAAACGATCTCATGAGTAAATTCATGCAAAAAATAGACGACAAGGTCGAGGGGATTTCGCAAGAAGTAACAATCCGAAGGCCAATACAAGTCAACCAGAACGAATTGATCTGATCAACAACCTCAAATGGGAAATAGACGAACTTAAAAATGAAAACTTAGAATTACGCCAAAGGAATGCGACTATATCGTACGCTATGGCAGACTTGCAAACTAAAGTTAAAGACACGGAGAACGAAAAAAACCCAGCCTAATTACGGCAATTAAGCTGGTTCAACTCGACAATCCAAACCTAGTGGAACCAAAAATCAAGTTGACACCTGGCATGTTGTTCGAAATAAGAAACCAAACGTTATAGCAAGGATGCCCACAAAACGGCCGCCGGTATCTCGGATGTTAACAGATATGAAGTCCTTAGTGACAGCGATGTAGAACCAACAGAAGGACAACACCCGCCTTATGTCAGACCGATCACGACCCACAAGAATCCTGGCAATAAAGAATCAACTTTTGACAAAACTCTTATTACCGATTCTCCACCCCAGAATAGCTATTCCAAGTCCAAGACATCCGAAGGTCCCATAACAATCTTAGGGGATTCCATGATAAAGATGATTAAACCACCTAAACTGAGACAACTGAGTCGATTAATAGGCGAAAAAGGCAACATCAAAACATTTCCTGGAGCAACAATTAACGACATGAACCACTACATACAACCCACAATGAAGAAACAACCCAAACTGGTGATTCTACATGTAGGGACTAATGACATTCAACGTTACGTAAAGAACCCGACGAAATTGTAGCCGAAATGAAATTCTTATGTCAAGGTATCGTGTCCCAAAGTTTGTCAAAAATAGCTATTTCCGAAATAATTAAGAGACAGGACCCGGTTATCAACATTAAGATAGATAAAACTAATTCGTTACTAGCTAAGCTCTGTGGTAAATTCAAGTGGCAGTTTATTCGGCATACTAACGTAGATGCTTCTAAATTAAATGCATCTGGATTACATTTGAATAGCCAAGGAACGGCAATGTTAGCAAAGAACTTGATCGAATCCCTCAAGAATTGACTAAATGAACTCAAACCTAGCGATATTGACGATATTGACTATTTTTACAAAATTATAAAATCAATTAACATAGGTGGTAACACTAACAATATTGAATTAAGCACAATGTGCGAAACTAGAAAGTCAACCCTACGCTATGAGCACAATTCAAATTTAAATTATATTGACAATCAACAAGACCGGTTCGTTCCGGCTATCCGAGGCTTCAAAATAGCTTCTTTGAACATAACAAGTCTACCAAAACACATTGATGAACTTCGGATCTGCATGAATGATAAAGAAATAGATGTTCTTGCAATTAATGAAACACGAATGGACGATAGTGTGCCAATCGAGTCAATAGCCATTCAAGGTTACAATTGGATTTCCAAAAACAGAAATAGATCTGGGGGTGGTATCGGTTTTTTCATTAGAGATTCAATAAATTTTCGACCTCGAACTGACCTGAATAATCATGATATTGAAATTCTTACAATACAAATTAGTAAACATAACGTTAAACCGTTCTTAATTACAACGTGGTATCGACCACCAAACGATCCAATTGACACCCTTATAGATTTGAGAACTGTTTACAACTAATAGACAATGACAATAAAGAAAGTATTATCCTAGGAGATGTAAATTATGACTTCTTATCCACAAGTCTATCTCCCCAAGCTTCGGAACTCAAATTTATTACAGGACTGTATCAATATGAA